CTAGGCACGCAGCCACACCATTCAACGACAAACGGCATTTGGATTTTCATTTATCGTCCGTAACACGCGTATTAGTTTATTTTGTTGTGACCCTGGCAAGGATTCCAAGAAATCATATGCCCTGTAGGATCCCTTACGTACAAGCCAGTTGCCCACTGAATGGTTCTTCACGCGTTGCTGTATACAGGTGGAAGACCCTAGACGAAGCCTATTCGCTTTCCGCGTGACGTAGACCCTACCGACGTTGACAGAGAACTCCAAAATAAATAGGAAGTTCGAATTAAATAGTGGTCATGCTCTTAGACGCATGCATTGCTGGTTTAGTAACCCGTTCGTATGTTACAGCTCCACCGATGCCAGCGACTATTGCCACAACGTGTATCATGGAATAGGCGCAACCTCAAGAATTTTCACGTTAATTGATTTATAAAGGCGGACTTGCTCAGCATCCACCACATTCTCTCTCTCTGAGCAAGTAAGCTCAGGTGGCAAAACAATGTTAAGACAGCCGAACGTAGGCTCGGACACAATGGCTAACATGCTATGCAACCCTTACATAATGTAGTTTTTTTTTCTTCTTCAAAAATGTGGGTTAGATTTCACGCTCCTAAATAGCATAAAGGCCACATTAGGGAGCTTGAGGCAGTTCTCTTTGTCCTTTATACTCCCACACAGTGCCCACCACGCAAACAGAGTAAATTTGTCAATCCTTGAAACTGGTTTTTCGCTCATCGGTTGCATATCAATATGTTCAGCAATACTCACCAATACCTAAATCGTGTCCATATCGTTAGAGCTAACTTGAAAGGTTGAGATGGAATAGATACACACTTGCTACTAGGATGAAAAGGGTGTTTAATGGAAGGTCAAGTTATAATTGTTGTAACGGACGCCCAGGCCAAAATATTCGCCGTCTAACTACGCCTCATGTGAGCCCCCAAAGAGAGAACACAACAGGAAGTGTGTAGAAAGCGAATATCTTTGAGTGTTAGAGGTACAACAAATTTAGGGAAACGAACGTGTGTAAGAT